TTGGGAGGCTGCATACCCAAACCGGGCTCGACCAAGATACCCAGCTCTTCCATGAGCCTGCTGTGCGAATTCGCAGTGCGCGAATCAGCACTCAAATGTTTAGGAGGTTCTAGACGCACGATCCCGTGACGAAATGAGCAGTTGGATGCAGTTTCATGTCCCGGGTGCTGAGAGGTCCTTTCCCAGGCCATCATCAACATCTTTCCGAACCTTTCCATTCGGAGCAGGATTTGATTTCGCCACGGGCTTGCACAGATGCACGCCCAATCTTCCCCTCAAGGGGGAATTTGGAGAAGCCTCTCGTGGGGCAGACGTCACACGGCACGTTTTGAATCTAATTCGGTGCTTTCTGACACACGGGTCCCGAAGACTCGACGGGGATGCACCTCTCATTTTTTGAAAGCTGACCTAGCGAAGGACTTTTGTTCGAAAGGGTGGGCGAGGTCAGCTTCCACCCCAGGGACCAAAACGGTGGTGTATGGAATCGGGTTCGAGCTGAAAATCTCAACTGAAGTCCTGGCGGCCTGTAATCCCACGGGGCGTGAGGGTCTAAACTAGTCTAAACTGTCTAAACCCTTATCCTGAAATTTCCGAGGTCGCAAGACTGGAGCTCAAGTGCAACCTTAAACCATTCTCCTTAAACCTGCCGTCCCGAATGACTTAATTAATCAGCCCTAAACCACAACCCTAAACTCTAGAGTCCCCTAAAGAGCACTACTGGAATCTTCGGAGCCTCCACAGGCGGCAGTAGGCCCCGAAATCCTCCGGCCGAGTCCTTGCAGCAGAAGCCAGGGCCGTTGGAACAACTTTAGGGCTTTAGGGCTTTAGGGCTATATAGGGCGTCAGGACTTTAGGGCTTTAGGGCTTTAGGGCTATATAGGGCGTCAGGACTTTAGGGCTTTAGGACTTTAGGGCTTCGAGGGCTTTAGGGCTCCTAGGGCTTGGGGCTTAGGGCTCGCGAAGGATTGTAGTAGAAGGGCTCTGTACGGTGGGTCATTAAGTGTACTGCAAAGATTCTGCAGGGCTCTATAGGGGTCAAGGGGCCCAGATTTCGGGGTTGGGGTTTAGGGTTTGAGGTGTGATGCTTCGTGCTTTATGGGCTTTTATCCCAAAACCCAACACACTTTACGCCTGAACACTAGGAGTGTGACTGTCGTTTTCAAGTTCCAACTTGCTGGCTTCTACTTGTCTGTGGGAGTTTCTCAATAGTAGGTCTCAGGACCCAGTTTAGGCTTCAAGGCTTGGAGAAAATTCATTCGCTGATGGTTTGGCAGCAGAGGCAGTGACTGAAAGGCCGTCCCATCGTGGTTTTGAGCAACTCCCAGCGTTGACGAGAGTCTTACAAGCCACCGTGCCAGTCTCACACAAGTATTGCCGTAGTCGGCACTTGGAGGAAGCCGGCGCGACCCTTTTGCTGTCCAAGAGTCCATGAATCATCCATCAGTACAACAACCGGTTCAGGGTTAGGGTTTAGGGTTACCAGCGCCGTATACTTTTCGAAGTAGGTCTTATTCGGCTCCATGAGGTACCTTTCGAAAGAGACCCGAAGCCTAACGACCACCTCGCTTCAGCCTCGAGCGCTCGAATCACCTAAGCCGAAAGCACTGAGCCGTAGTTGCCCCTGGTTTCAGGATCCCGGGTTTGGGGTGTAGGGTTTGTGGTTCAGGATTTGGGCTGATCTGGGGTTGAGGCGTTGAGACTTGGTGCTTTCAGGTCGTATGCGAGAAGAACGAGTGCCGCTTGTGCACGAGAATGGGGGAACGCAAATGCCTCGCAATGCGATGCGCTGATTTCACCGTGGCATTTTGAAGCTCTTAAAAACAATTATGCTTGCTGTGGGTCCAAGCTGAAGCGGTTCAGGAGTTTGCATTGTTTGGCTTCAACAGGGTCTAGGCACATATCAAGACGCCGATGAACCCAGACCACTTGAGAGCTTGTCGCATCAGCCTGTGCATTCCAGCCTGAGCGCCCATAGCCTGAGGCCAGAATATCAACGAGTTTTTTCTTTTTGATAGTTCCCTTTTGGGGTCACTTTAGTTGCTCTGCCATTCTGTGAGGCATAGCGGGGAAGACGGACTTGGCATGCCACACCTCTTCTTGTGATGCCCGCTTCTGTCGTGGTTCCTCTCCTGTGAGTCGGGGCCACTGCCATCGCGGGAATGCCGGCATCTTCTTGTACTATTTGCATGCTGCTTGTATTGTGTGGCTATGTTCTTCCCCGAGCCCGGAAAACAGAACTTCGACAGCACGGTAACGGTCGGTCGCACAGCGATGTTGAACAACATCTGTGCGATGGGATCGAGCTTCTTAGTTTACGAGTTACGAGTGAGTGCACACGCTTGCGATGTTTTTTTGTTTTCTTCTGCTTGTGTCTCCACTCTACAGGTCTGCCAACCGCAAAACTCTACTGCCAGACCCTTCAATTCAATGGCTCTCTTGGCCGATGCATGCTTTTGAGTTTTCTTGCATGGAGCAGGAACCACGGACCCAAACCCGACACCCTAAACCACAATGAACAGCAGAATCTTGAGCAGTTGCTCTTTGCTTGCTGCTTCCGTCGGCCGGCAGCGACGCAGACGCAGTCCAGGTTTCGGGGGTTTTCACATGTATCACATGTGGATCTGTGTGCATTGCAGGGTCACTGAGTATGTCCCAAGGCCCCAAGAGCCTGACAGAAGGGCGAGCTCCCTCTAGACTCTAGACACTTTGTGGCTAACCTCCCTTAGACCCTAAGCTTTGAAGCCCAAGGCTCTAGAAACCCAACCAGCCACCGAGAAGACCCAACACCCGCGGCGCAGCATGGCGATGTCCGGGTAGAAGTGCCGCCCTGCTGGGCGAATGGATGCAGCTTGGCCGGGCAGGGATTCGGAGAGAGGCCGCATTTGCAGTCTGGGGTAAATTAAGGGCTTTGGACCTGGATTGCTGACGGAAGCTTTTGCTCGGCTTCGTCATCAATAATACGAGCAGTACGGCGAAGCACCGAGAAGGGAACTTGTTGCTTGCTTCACATCGGGGCGTTCTCGGGTACAGCCCTGAGGAAGATTCCGGTGCCCCTGTGTTTCGGCTTCGTTCATGCATGCCAGAATGTGCGAGCTTTCCTGAGTGGCCGGCTTCTCGGCAGGGCTGCGGAGCCTGCTGCATCCCACAATTCACCGGACCCTAAATGGGTTCAAACCCCAAAGAAGAACACCGAAACCCTAGTCCCTAAACCCCAAGCCCCAAACCCTATGCCCTCAACCCAAAGTCTAAGCTGCAAGGCCTAAGCCCTAAACCCCAAGCCCTATACCCAAAACCCTAAAAAGCTCAAAGTCCGAGGCGTGAGCTGGGCCTCAGTGGAGATCGTCATGAATCGTTTTGCGCTGCTTCCGGTGCTCTTTCCCGACTGCCCATGCCCCAGATAATATGGTATATCACGTGTATATATATATATGTATACACATACACATACACAT